AAGAAAGACCCTTGCAAATGAAAACCCAGATCAAACGGCAGCTAGGAGAGCTTCCAATGCTGAAAATATGCAAAGACTCTGGGACTCTCAAACTCCTGAACAAAGGCCAAAGACCAATTAAGAGCACTTCGAAGGAGCTAGCTTAAATGCTGCTCGGTGGGGCGTCTTTTAAGCTAGTTAAAATATATATTTGTCTTTTGCAGAATTTTTACAGTCCATCGCGATTATTACGATCAAAAAGAAAGACTGTATAGCGTCTATTTGCATTAGTAAGTAAAACTAATTGTGTGTCTGTTTATTGATAACTATTTGTTATTTCAGATATTTCTTTTGCCGTTCGATTTTTTTTTCATTTACAATAATGATGTTACACATCAGTTTTCATTATCTATTGTTGTGTGTGTTGGTTAACAAGCCGGAAAGACAAGTGTTGGAACATTGCTTAGATGGATCCCACTGGGGTGGGGGGGTTCGTAAGTAGAGGATTCTATTTAGCAGCATCGAGAGCCTGGTAGGTCTGTGGTTAACTTGGATGTTGGACATGCCGGGTCAGGAGTAATGTTGATGGATGAAGCTTTTTTCGAGAGTCAAAAACAAACGCATTGTTTATTACCTTTACGTCCTGTCATCAGAAACGAACCTTTCCATCATGATGAACAACAGACTAAAAAAAAACATCACAAAAAAAGCAAAAACAGATATTGACGAGATAAAGAAATACTAAGATAATATAGAATGGTATAGGAAAGCGTTTAATATTTATTTGCCGGGCAAATTTTTTCGTTTAAAATGTATGAGATGAATCGCTCGACAGTTTGTCTCCTGCAGGGCCAATTCCGACAGGAAGAAAAATACACTTTCATGGTTTTCAAATGTGCATGTGTGTGTGTGTGTAAGTTCGAGAGCATTTGTGTCGTATATCTTGTCTTTCGCTTCTGCCAAATCTTTTATATCTGTGTACATTTCCAATCGAATGCAGAGGTGCCGGGGATACGAGAGGGCTGCCAAGGGAGACACATACACTCTAGGTTTGTCAGTGAGTGACTGGGCGGTAAAAAAAGTTGTTTCAAGAGTGTGCCTTACTTTAGTGTTAATTCGCTCTATATAACTTAACCCATCCTGACATACCAAGGACGAGACATTTTTAAAAATATATGGTTATATTACCATGAGATAAACAAAGAACACATGATTGTGTGTGTATGAGAGAAAGTCGAAAGTAGTTTCTTTTCGTATCTATCTATGCCTCTGTCTGTCTCTGTCTCTGTCTCTCTCTCTCTCTCTCTATATATATATATATATTTACTTAAATATTTGTATCTATAAAAAGAATGTATAAACATAAAATGTCTTAAAATAATTGTCGGACTTTGTCCATTTCATGTGTGATGTTGTTTTTTTACATTTGCATACGATTTGAGCAGATATGAATGTACGTGAGAGATTCATGGAAAATTGAAGTTTAAAGGCAGTAAATTGAACCTTGCTAACCGAACGCTCCTCTGTGGCCAAATCGGTTAAAGGCACGTCAGGCTATATAACGGTTCCGTATAGGATACAAGTTCGATTCCTGTCGGCGGACGAATCATTTCTATGAAAATTTCTCGGACATTCAGGCTGGTAAATGTTTAATGCTGTTTATTATAAACAGAGCATTTACTTAAATATTTGTAACTATAAAAAGAATGTATAAACATAAAAATGTCTTAATATATATATATATATATATATATATATATATATATACTTCTTTACATAATAACCGGAATTCATATCTATGATTGCTACTTAAATAACTTGTTAATGTTGTCTAGCTCAAATATTTAACGATGCAACAGGGTGGATTACATGGGAATTTTATAGTGGTGAAATTCAATCAGTAACTTACGAATTAAAATACATAAAAAAATAAAATCGGAAAGCGAAATTTTCACAGGTATCCTATTATTATTATTATTATTGTTGTTGTTGTTGTATTTCCTTTTGTTTCTGGTGTATACTCATTTCTTTCCGGGTCTCGACCAGAGACCTAAGGTCAGAAATGGCATCATGACATTTTCCACTGACCAGTTTGGGAAAAAATCGCACACATTTTAAATAGATAAATCCCTTCGTAAGGTGTGAGTTGTACTGGTGAATACATTTTTTTTGTATTTCTTTAAGGTATCTCATTAATACATTCTTTTTTTTTTATCTCCAGGGGATATTAAATATAGTAGTCAGCATCCGAGTGTAGGTTCCATCAAGCTTACACTGTAGTTAATGTCCGAGCATTGGCCCCATTAAAACCGCCTTTACCGTGGCGCGAAAGAATCTCCGCTTGAGGTTCTATAGTAGATCAGATTTCCAGATTATATCCATTTTATTTAAGGCTAGACCGCCTTGAATGGATGTAATGTGGAAATCCGGCTTTAGCGATGCGAATTATCGCATCCTTTTCAGTAGAATTTATTTCACTTCCGATGTATGTAAAAGATTCGACAGATTTTATTTGATTTACCTGAGACAGTTTTTATTGAGTTTTGCTGGTTGTACCGTATGATATCGGTTTTAGAGGCTTTGAGATAGACTCCAACATCCCTGGAAGCATTTTTCTAGATGGGCGGACTGGCTTTGGAAAATGACAGTGTGAGTCAAGCTGATGAAGAAAGATTAATTATTGGAAAATCTGTTTTTGCCTACGCATTCTGAAAATTTGAATTCGTTACTGGAACGCTGTATCGGACCTTGAAGTAGGCTGAAGTTAGATGCTGATAAAATGGGAAAAGAAAGCGTGAAAGATTAGCATCGCCTATATGGAACGATGGTGCGAAATGAGACGTGAAGCGAGTTAGAGCAGCTTGATTCCTTTGAATACTATCAAAAAAGGGTTGAACAACTCCCAAATTTGGAAAATCACTCGAGTAAACATATTTTGAGAATATGGAAATTTAGAAAAAGGTTGATGCTAAGGGTGGAAGACAACTGAACCCAGACACTGGTCAACTGTGCAAGCCAGAGGCATGACTCCATATAAATTGGAAGTTTAGACAACCTGAATAGTTCCTACACTACTCCCGGCCAAGACCTTGTGCCGGCTCTGAAGACCAGAATATAGAAATTTAAATTACTACTAATACAAACTGCAAACTCCAAAAGGGGATCTTAGTGTCATTTTTTTTAGTGAGAAGGGTTAAAACCGCTGTATACAACAAATCATGTATAAACTAAATCGTTGTTAAGTTAATTCTTTATTCCAAATAATCCTTATTGTGTGTGTGTGTGTGTGTGTGTGTGTGTGTGTGTGTGTAGTTCTCAGCTGTCGACCTGGCTTCACATCAGTTTGCTTCATAAACGATCTTCTCACCCTCTGAGATAAAAAAACACAACGTGCAAGAGGAGTGAATGATCAGTCGAGTGGAATCGTGCTCATCATCAGGATACCAGCGACAAACGTGCAACGCGTTAACAAGTGGGAAGTCAGCTGATACTACCTAGGGTGGTCCGAAGAAACATGAGGAGCAACGCGGGTGTGGGTTGCATTATTGGTTTCCGTTGACCAGGATCGACTTAGGACTACATACGTACATTGTTGATTTCAATCTAGTGCAGGCATGTCTTCAAAACACTTTCAGCTCCTCTTTTATAGGCGGAAGCATGGAAATATATGATGAGACATTTCCTAGGCAATAAAATATGCTTGTTAACGGTTTCACCTGATCCAGTCCCGATCTGTCTTGTCTTGAAGTCAGAACATGGCTTTCGTTTGTCCAAACTTATTTTGCCTGTCGACGCCAATTCTCAGTTTGTGAACTTTTTGCCATATTTCTGTTGCTATGCCTTATTAAATTAATTTGCCTTGCATATAATGTTTGCTTGCTTTATATTATTTTATGCTCTGTTTTTTTTTTTGTTATTGCGTATTGCAAACTGTTGCATTTGACCATGGCTACCCACTCCACATGCGTATATAAAAAATGGCTGACAGAAGAAAGAACAGTAGTAATTGAAAAATACGTGAAAAGATCAACGAAAAACAGAAAAAGTTGAAAGTAAATAAAAATATTTTTTCTTTCATCTTCTTCCGAAGATTGCAGGGATTACCGAAAAGTTCTCAGCTCAACTAAGACGTCCTTTAAAAATACATGATTTTTTTGACATTTCGCCAGATTTTGTGAACAATGTGACCTAACGAATTTTCTGAATCCTAGGGATAATGGGTCAGCGGGTCACTTGCCTGATAAGCTTGTACGAAGGGATGGCGGAACATGAGATTGAAAGGATTAATTAATTCGTTTTTTACGATTTATCAACCCTTTGCAGGTTATTTAAAACCAGAAAATATTTTTAGATTGTAAGAATTTTTTCGATACAAGTCTCACTAATTAACCCATAGCCGAGGGAGATGTGGACATATATCTTTCCCAGGCGTATTTGCGCGTAAGGGAATATAATGAACCCAAGGGGAATTGGAACTCGGTTCTCCGATTAACAATTCCATTACACCACCCACACACCAAAGCTTGGTATTCTCGGACTTCAAAATATTCAAACGATAGACGTGCATTGCTTTTTAAAAAATCCGAGCCATTATCAATTAAACCACTCACACTTCTAAGCTTACAGCACCTGGTATTCTGGAGCGGTTATCTATCTAGGTACTGGCCAGGCTTAACGTTGCTTAACTTCGGTGATCGTACGGGAATCGTTGTTTCAACGTGATATGGTCGTAAGCAAGAGGCTGAAGAGATTTCTGTTATAAGCTGTTATGGAGACCCATGTCCACCCACACGTGGAGGAAAAACAGTACATAGAAGACGAGGTATTTACAGACAGCGTAAGATTAAAAAGAAAAAAGAATCATACACACAAATAATGGAGCTCGTTTAGACATACATCTTCATTGATAAAAAACAATTTCTTTGTATTTAACCTGACAGGAGCTTTTTGTTCATTAAACATTCATAAGTTTTATAATTTTTCTTCGTTTACTTGTCGGCCATTTTTTTTTCAAAAAATACGTTTGTTTATTCGGCTACGATCTCTTCCTTTGCTTTCTCCCTAACGTCATTTATAATATAAATTTCTCGTTTACGATTTTTTTAACGGAAATTTTTCAACGAGAATTTTTATTTAATTCAGATTGTATTTGAAGAATTTAATTTTTTTTTTTTCGACGAATTTAATTTGGAGAAAATTCCGTCTTACTCTCATGCAATATTTCATTTGATTGCATATATTTCTTGGAGTCTGTTTTTTTTTTTTATTACTGTTGCTGTGTCTAATGTCGTTGAAGCATATATAACAATAAATATTTCTTCATTAATTCGAACCTTTCCATTAAAACTTTTTCTTTCATTCTTTTTGGATTCTACAAATCATATATATATATATATATGTGTGTGCGTGTGTGTGTGTGTGTGTGTGTGTCTGCGTGTGTTAATCACGACAGTGGATTCTTCGTGCTTAAGATGTCGTCTGCAAAATCCTATTCAGACAGATGTACTTAAATTGGACACACTTCCTGCAAACGAAATTACTTCAACCAACGGGTTCTATGAATGTGTCACGATTATTGTGTAATAAATATTTTCGTGAATTATTTTATAGATAATATAAATTATAATTAACTATTGACAAAAAAAAAATAAAAATCTATGACTATAACGTTTTCGGTTTCCTTTTGGTAACACTTTTTGCGAACAAATGTCAAGTGATTCAGCATCCAAGTAAAAGAATCAACGACAAAATATCAGATGTTTTAGTATACAGCCTACGTAATAACCAACCCCACCCTGTTTGCGTCCTGTCGGCTGGGGCTGTAGAAGACGCCGACTGCACCTCTGCATAGGGGTAACCCCCTACCAATGGGGCGTCCTGAGTAAGACGATAAACTACGTCCAACAGCAAGGCCTCTGATAAGGAGGTTTTGAGGAGCGTGGAACCACTCTTAATTGATGGTGTTCCCAAGTCCACTCTAACCCGGGTTGGTAGAAACTGTTAGGTTCCAAGCGATGGGCAAATAGTTAACCTCGAAACTGAGGTAAAAAAAACATTATAAAAGTGTAAAAATAGGTTTTAATACCAGAAATACTTTGTAAAAAAAAATATTACCAGAAATTAATTTTTGAAAAAAAAAAAAACTATTACCAGCAACATATTTTTAGAAAAAAAAATATTACCAGCAATATATTTGATTGTACTAAAAAATATGAGTAATTGAAAAATGGTTCAAATGTATACATACACATATTTTTTTTTTACCAAATTATCGCTATTTATCTATTCAAATATTTTGTTGGCATTAAATGACCCACTGAAGATTTGATATGCCATAAAACAAAACAACTAACAAACCCACCCTGTTTGTTTTATTTGGTGTCAGTGTCTTTTGGTAAGGTAAGCGCCATATTTTTGGACTATGATACGATCCCATGTTTCTGAATCTAAAACAGTGAATAAATTCCGTCCTTCATACGCCCCCAGTACATCCATTCCTTTGTAAATGACTTTTTAGCATATTATTTATTAAAATCTCAATGTCGTATATATATTGTCGCAATGTGAATGTCGCAAAATGAGACGCACGCATTGCAGTACTAACTCCTATATTCGCTATTATTGTAATATAAATCGATGTGATTAAACAGTTTCTTCACTATTCTTTTGTTCCAACGTTTACCTTGGAATAGTATCAATCATAACTACGACACGAGCGTATTTTATATATATATATATATATATATATAAAGACATTTTTTGTTTATACATTCTTTTTTATAGATAAAATTTTTAAGTGAATGCTCTGTTTATAATAAACAGTATTAACAACAGTTACCAGCCTGAATGTCCGAGAAATTTTTATAGAAAATATGCGTCCTCCGACAGGAATCGAACCTGTATCCTATACGGAACCGTCATGTCATGCCTGACGTGCTTTTACCGATTTCGCCACAGAGGAGCGTTTCGGTTAGCAAGGTCGATTTTATTGTTTTTAAACTACAATCTTCCATGATTCTCTCACGTACATTCATATCTGTTCGATGCGTATCCAAATGTATATATGTCATTCACAGAGAGTACTGTTTCACTGTATCACAGCTCCTTTGTGCGACGAGACATTTGAGTGCTTCAAACCAGGACCGAAACCAGACGGAGAGGTATAACTCCGTGATACTAAAACCTGAGGGGTGTTGCTCATTCTGTTCATGGCAAATATTTGCACCAACTTCTAGTTATCAGCACTTTTAATAAGTATGGCTGGTTCTACACAAGCCTTCACCACTCTAAACAAATCTTTTGTTTGGATAGTCTTCAGTTCAGTTCTGTGTTCCTTCTTTGCTATTCCACCTGAGCAACAAGTCCACTGGCGAGAGAGTTAAGGCGACGGGGACAAGTACAAGATTAAAAACTGAAGTGAAAGACACTCATATGTCAAAAACGACGGGAGAGTCCATCATATATATATATATATATATATATATATATATAGAGAGAGAGAGATAATATTAGTGGAAAATATACATACATATGCAAAATATATATAAAAAATTTCCATACATGTATATTTTCAGAAAAAAAAAAAAAATTTTCCAAGAGGAAGGATCCAGGTAGAACTCAATGTCTAGGACAGAGTAAGGATATAATAAAAAGGCTTAAACACTAATATTCCATGGTCATAATTTATTCCATTGGAATCGTAAATACGATCCAATTCATCAAACCTACAAATTCAAAATGAAAACAGAAAAAACAACTCCGGAAATCAAAACACAATTTTATTTTCCTTCGTCCCATCTCTCTCCCCCACCTCTTCTCTTCTTTCCCCCCCCTCCTATCCTAATTGTCTATGGTGTGTATATGTCACCACGAAATGTATCTGAATAAGTTTAAAAAAGAGGGAACAGAAAGAGGGATCATCATTTCAAATTAAAGCTAAATTCATTCTTATTCTCCAAAGCAGAGCCCAGTAGTGTTATAAAAACCTCGGAGGAATCCAGAACAGTAGAAATACTGATCTTTGTTGCAATATACACGATGTTTCGGCCTTTCAAAGTACCATCCTTCATCAGGTGATTGGAATTTCGAATCGAAACAATATTTCGTTCGCCGGCGTAGATTATCCAACGGCCGAAAGGTCGTGAATATGATAACAAAGATGAGGACAACAGCCCGAACAAGGTAAATATTGTAAATAGTTACAATACCTCATCTCAGAAATATAGACAAATCCTGAAGAGGACCTGTGCGTAGAACGGCCGAAACGCCGTGAGTGTGTCAACAAAGGTCAGGACAACCGTCCAAATAATGGAAAAGTGTAAAAGTTGCAATAACTCATCTCAGAAATATAGACAAATCCTGAAGAAGGCCTGACTTACTACAGCTGAAACGTCGTGAATATGGCAACAAAGATCAGGACAATAGTCCAAATAATGGAAAAAGTGTAAATAGTTGCAATACCTCATCTCAGAAATATAGACAAATCCTGAAGAAGGTCTGAGCGTACAACAGCTGAAACGTCGTGAATATGGCGACAAAGATTACTTCATCTCAGATATATCGGCAGATATAGAAAAAACTAAAAAAACATCATCAAATTTTCTTCGACTGTCATATTTAACGAAACACGTTGAGAGAAAGCACAAATATACATTATATATATATATATATATATATATATATATATATATATATATGGATCTGTTTATCTGTTAGTATGAATTTTCCATTATCTATCGATCTGTCGGCGTATATGTGTCTGCCTCCTCGTCTCTGTCCGTTTCTCATTTTAGGAATATGCATTGGTATTCATGTAATTCAAACTTGTTAGGGGCTTCGATCCAATATGGGCATTTATCATGTCGACTTCGGCAGCGATTCACAATGCTGATGGCCATGCCAAGGCTGAAAAGGAAACATTTGCTCATCCAACCGGGCCAAACGTTCTTTCCATCTCGATTTACACACAGTTCCCGGACTTGAAATTGACGCATCAGCCCCGAGTGGTGTATTTGACATTCTAAAAAATTCAATGACGCCTTTGCCTCTTATTTCAATCACCATAATCGATAAACGTTTTTTTTTCTTTTCTTTCTTTCTTTGCTGTTTTTTATTTTTTTTTTCGAATTTACTCTATCTTAGGAAGATTTGGAGCGTTCGTCTGCAACAATTTGTTCATAAATTTTAAGATTTTTTTTTTCTTCTCATGTTGGGATGAATGAATCTACGGCATATTTGACAGACATTTAGTTTCTTGTTTTTTTCTTTTGCTGTTACTTTTTCTGGTATAAAATCTTTCAGGGTTTTTAGTTTTCTTCTCCATCTGCTTTGTGCTTTCTGCACCGTCCGATATTCTGTTTATTTTTCATTCTTTTTCTATTCTCTGTCATCATTTAACAAGTAATTTCCTTTTCAAATCAGTGGCAAAGCGTATAGTTATTGTCCGAAAGGTTTCAAAAAGATTTAATGCAATAATAAGAATTTTTGGTCGTTGAAGATTTTTTTTTTTCAATGGCTTCATTTCGTTTTTATTTCTTTCCCTTCTCGGACATAATTAGCTACTTTTTTCTTTTTTTCTTTTCTCGTTCTTGATACACTTCATTCATTAACATATTCCCTTTCTTTCTATTTTTCTTTCTTTTTTCCATTTACTTTTTTCTTCTGTTCTGCTACCTCCGCTCTTTCTTACTTTTTCTTTCTTCTTTTTCCTTTGTCTATCTCATTTTTTTCTTTCTTTTTTCATATATTTGTTTTTTCTTCATCTTTTTCTTTTCTTCTTCTTCCACCTCCCTTCTTTCTTTCTTTCTTCCTTTTTCTTTCTTTCTTTATTTCATTCTTTTTCCTCGTATATTCATTTTCTTACCCTTTTCGTTTTATCTGCCGCATTTCTTTCTTTTTACACTTACTTGTTTTTCTTCATCATTTTCTTTTCTTCTTTCATCTCTGTTCTTTCTTTCTTTTTTCTTTCTTTTTTCTTTTTTTTTCTTTTTTTTTTCTTTCTTTCTTTCTTTCTTTTTCTTTCTTTCTTCTTGTATTCTTTCATTATTTTTCTTTCTCCGAGTTTTTTTTTTTTTCTTTCTTTTTTTTCATTTTTTTCTTTCTACCACAATTCTTTTATTTTCTCCACCTCTGTCTCTGTTCTTTTCCTTTTCATTTACTCGTTGTTTTTTTTCTTCATTTTTGTCTACCATATATCTTTTTTCTTTTTTTCTTTTCTTCTTCCACCTCCTTCTTTCTTTCTTTCTTTCTTTCTTTTTTCTTTTTCTTTCCCCCCCTTATTTTCTTTCTTTTTTCCTCGTATATTCATTTTCTTTTTATCTACCCTTTTTCGTTTTATCTTGCTTCATTTTTTCTTTCTTTTTTCCACCTCCTTCTTTTCTTTCTTTCTTCCTTTTTCTTCATCATTTTTACTTCTCTTTTATCTGCTTTTCATCTTTTTACTTTTTTCTTTCATTTTCTTTTTTTTCTTTTTTTCTTTTTTTTTTTTCTTTTTTTTTTTTTCTTTCTTTCTTTCTTTCTTTCTTTCTTTCTTTCTTTCTTTCTTTCTGTATTTTCATTGTTTCACATTTATTATTTTCCCTTGTCTTTCATGAATTATATTTGTTCACTCTCTCTCAATATAACACTAAAAATGCAAATGGTTTCAAATTATGTATAAAGTATAACGTATAACTTACATCGCCACCATTTTCGGCGGGTTTATTGATAAAATTTGATATAAGTTTCGTGACTTTTGTGATATAATACGTAGCTTAAAAAGCGAAAACAACAAAAGCCAAACGCGAATTGTAAATGTCTCTCCTCCCCTGATCGTACGGCTGTACACAAATAGATCAGAAAATACACACAGACATCATATAACAAAAAGAACTGGATAAAAAAAAAAAAATGAAAAAGTTCTCCATTGTTGAAAGAGTAACAAATCCGTGATTGGTAGATTGATGACCGACGATAATGAGGAAGCTAGAGATGGAATTATATGAAAGGGAGAGTCAAACAGAAGGGTATAGAGAGAGAGAGAGAGATTGATAAAGAGGGATAGATAATTGAGGAAGAACAGACAGACAGACAGAGACATAGATAATAGACAGACAGAGATTGATAGAGAGGGATAGAAGAAACACAGAGATGCAGAGTCAAACAGAAGGATAGAGAGAGAGAGAGACAGAACATAGATTGATTGATAGAGAGGGATGAGAGAGAAACACAGAGAGTGAAAGAACGAAGAGAGAGAGAAAGAGCAGACAGAAAGACACATAGATAATAGACAGACAGAGATTGATAGAGAGAGGAGAGAAAACACAGGACAGACAAGAGAGAGAGAGAGAGAGACAGACAGACACAGACAGAAAGACAATAATACAGACAGAGATTGATAGAGAGAGATGCAGAGAGTGAAAAGAGCAAGAGAGAGAGAGAGAGAGAGACGACAGACAGAGACATGATAGATAATAGACAGACAGACAGATTGAAAGACAGGGATAGAGAAAGACAGATACAAGAGAAAGAACGAAAGAGAGAGAGAGAAGAGAGAGAGAGAGAGGGACAGACAGACAGACAGACAGAAGAGGATACATACACAGAGATACATAGACAAAGAAGACATAGAGAGAGAGAGAGGATAGAGAGACAACACAGACAGAGACATACAGACAGACAGACATGAAAGAAAGAGCACAGAGAGAAGAGAAGAGAGAGAGAGACAGAGAGAGAGAGAGAGACAGACAGACAGACAGAAAGACACATAGATAATAGACAGACAGACAGATTGATAGACAGACAGACACAGAGATAGATAATAGACAGACAGACATATTGATAGAGAGAGAGAGAGAGAGATGAGAGAGAGAAAGAGACATAGACAGACAGAGATTGACAGAGAGGATGAGAGAAAGAAAGAGAGAAAGAAAGAGAGAGAGAGAGAGAGAGAGATAAATAGACAGACAGACAGATTGATAGAAGGGATAGACAGATAGAAAATGACTGTGATATTTATTACAAGAGAGAAAACAGATGAGGGGACAGACAGACAGACAAACAGACAGACACATAGATATATATATATATATATATAATAGACAGACAGATTGATAAAATATATACAGAGAGTGAAAGAAGAGCGAGAGAGAGAGAGAGAGAGACAACAAACAGACAGATATAAATATGATAGTTATTAAGTAAAACAGATGCTATATATATATATATATATATATATATATGATAAAATATAGTTTTAAGTAATGCTATATATATGGGTTAAAATTTAATATCAGTAATAGGGCGTATGTAAACATAATGAAAAGACATTGAATTAAACACCATGAGTTGACAGTCCGTTTCATGCTAAATGGCCTGATGATCACGATTAACGCACACACACATATGTATATATATATATATATATATATATATATATATATATATATATATATATATAGAGACAGAGAGAGAGAGAAAGAGAGGCAGAGAAAGAGAGACAGAGAGAGAGAGAGACAGAGAAAGAAAGAGAAAGATAGAGTGAG